CTTGACAATCTTTGTGAGTAAAAAAATGTGTAGAAACAAAAATGAACAGCGTGTGTTATTAGGGAAATAGCGAGCGAGCGGTGTTGATGCAGGATTGCGCATGCGCCGTGAGCGGTTCTGATACATTTTGGGTCGCAGCTGCTCGCAGCGCCGCTTCAACAGTGCGATACCCTCATGAGGGACGAGCAAAATATCAAACACTCCAGAAGTCCGTGCGACCTCACGACTGCTGATCGGCAGCTGGTCACGTGGTGTTAATTGCCTCTCGTAACCCCCTGTACACTACACGACCGCTCGGCGCAAAACTCGCCCCGATGTCGTGGATTCTCACACGACTGGAAAATCGGCTCAAAAAAGTGAAAAAGTCTCACAGTGTACGCCCGGCTTAAGCGTCCTCCTCAGAAAAATGGGCCTCCATTTGCGTGGCCCGATGCTGTGCTTTAGCCTGAAGGAAAAAAATGGAGGTATAAATTAGTGAGCAATTAGTTAGTATGTTTGACTTGAACAAACCGAATAAACTACAGTATGTAAGCTACCATGCGGTAGCTACCCATGCGGCATTGTTTGAGGGCAGATATATGCTATTGCCTTTTGTAAACCAAAATTACAACTATAATAACAAGCACAGGATTTAAAACTTTCTTACCTGAAGCAAGCGAACTAAAGAGTGAGTGGTTGACAAATAAATCAGACGAAGTAGCCAAACAGCAAAAAGCAACTGGAAATGAATCTTGTGGGAAAAACACATGGGATAAAATAAGAACAAAAACAGAGGCAGATTAAGCTGATTGGAAGATGGTCGTGGAACACGTGATGACCATAACAAATCAGAGAACTGGCTGGAACATCAGTCAGAGTGGCTGATTTTCAGGGTTGTTACAACAAGCCATTCCATTGGAGGGCTGTGAGGGCAATAACATGTAAATTAGCTTACATTTCTTTGCTGGTGGATTTTAGAAAGTAAACATTTGTAAACAGCAAAAATGAGTTTTTCAGTAAACAAAGTTTAAAAAAATATCCAATTTTAGCCATGAAAGTGGAATAATGGTTAACTTAATTATTGTCAAAACTCCAAATACTAACAAAAACAAAACATTGGAGGGCTGTGAGGGCAGGATGTTATAGGGATTTAAGCCAGTGAAACCTAAACATTTAAAAAATATTCTCTACAAATAAAATATGCAGTTATAGAAGCCACCAGATATCAGTTTTTATTTTTTAAATTGTATTATTTGTAGTTTTATTTACACACTTTATAAACAACAACACACACACACACACACACCTTCATCATCATCAGTCCCCTCTTGCACAACATGTACCTTTCTTTGTTGGTGGTTTTCTGAAAGGTACTATAGGACAGTATACATGATTTAAATGCAATCCTCGTCTATACTGATGTCACACAATGTCCATCCTCATTCAAGAATCTGAGTAGCAGCTCCTCCTCAAACATTCCTGAATATCAGAACTTGTTTTTGCCAAATGCAAAAAGGATTTTTTTTCAGTAAACAAGTTAGAAAAGTCCAAGAATTTGTTATTTTTATTAGAAAAACACTTCTTTAGCTATAAATGTGATTCAAATACTGCAACTAAAAATTGTTTAATTGTCAAAACTCCAAATAGTAATTCAAAATAAGCTTCCAAAAATAAAATAAATGAGATGCAGTTGTAGAATACACCAGATGCAGATATCAGTTTTTACTTTTATTTGTAGTGGTGGAATTTTTCTATATGATCGATCTAGTTAAGAACACACTGTGTAGACAAATTTAAACACACACACACACACACACACACACACTAATCGTCAACATTCACCTCTTGCACAACATGTACCTTTGTTGGTGGGTTTTCAAAGGTAACAAATGGCAGTAGACAGGATATGATTTAAATGCAAATAATCCCCTTCGAGCTGACGCCCATTATGCATCCTCATTCAAGAATCTAGTAGCTCCTCCTTAAACATTTTGGTACATTCAGAACTTGTTTTTGCCAACTGCAAACACATTTTTTTTTCAGTAAACAAAGTTTAGAAAAGTTTTTTTCATAAAATAAAAAGTCCCATTTTTTATTAGAAAGACATTTTAGCTATAAACATGATGCAAGTACTGCAACTACTAATTGTTTATTTAATTATTGTCAAAACTCTAATAATAATAAAAAACAAAGCATTAAAAGACCAAATTAAATTATATCTTTGTGTGTTATTTTTCATGTGTGTTGAGGAAAACATTTTTTAATTTTAACAAAATCCAGATTAGAATCACAATATGGACAAGCTGAAAATCTAATTTGACGATAAAATCTCTCTTAAATTGTATTTATTCTGGAATTACAGTTATCACGTTGTAACAATGTAGCAGCAACGTTGTTATTCAACAGAGAGGACATTTAACAGAAGTTGTAAAGCGACTTTCGGAGGACGTTGTAGTGTGACGTTTCAGCAGTGTACCAACAACGCCCCCTGAACGATCATTTCAAAATCCTGGTTCTGGTCTATAGGGCCTTACATGGACAAGCACCATCTTACATTGGTGATCTTCTTAGTCCCTACACCCCCAGCAGGTCCCTGAGGTCCAGTGATCAAAGCCTACTGGTTGTGCAGCACCAGGTTAAAGACCAAAGGTGACAGATCATTTGCTGCTGTGGTCCCCAGACTCTGGACCTCTCTCCCCCTGAGCCTGAGATCAGTGGACTCAGTGGACTCCTTTAAAAAGCAGCTGAAGACTCACCTGTTCAGGCTGGCTTTTGTATGACCTTCTTCACCACTTTCTCTTTATTCTGCTCTCCCCACCTATTCCACCTTCCTCAGGATCCACTGATTTCCCTCTTTCCTATTCACTCTCTCTCTTTCTTAACATTTTTTCTTTTAAATCGCAATTGCTTATTCTTGCTCATTTTAAATATATTTAAACATTTTCGAAATGCTTTTTTATATTTTTACAATTTTTATATTTTTTGTTTTTGTGAAGCGCCTTGTGATTTTTATCTTGAGCGGCGCTATAGAAAGGATATTTTCTTCTTCTTCTTCTTCCCTGTGGAACATAGTAATCTAAACATAGCAGCTATGTAGTCACTACGTCACAAAGGAAACGTCGCAAAATTGTGGCGACTTTCTGTGTTAGTAGGGTTGTTAAACTAATTTAACAAGATGCCAAACCAGTGCGACCACCTGTGTGCGTGTAGTGCAGCATGACTGCAGGCTGGATGAAAAACGATCCCTGTTTTCAACTATGTTAAATATGTAAATGATTGCCATCATTGTCATTTCCAAGAACTCCACTCCCTCTGCATGTGAAAGATGGCAGGTAAATCTGTCGCTTTCATTGTAGTTCCAGCTCATAAAAAATTTCAACATTCCAGAAATTGCTTCCTTTGTGTTTTTCTTTAGTCTTCATTAGTTCCTAAAGAAAACACAGATTTATCTGTGCCAACTGTAACTCAACAGTGACGGCACCTTGTCTGGATCTGAAGCAAAAATGTTTCATAAACACACACAGGATTAGAATGTTGTGTGCATTAATGGGATCAATTATAATATGGTGCTAAAGAATCTGTTTGAATTGTGCACATTTAGCCCGTTTTTTTTTTAAATAAAAAAAGGATTTTAACTCTTTGATCAGGTTCTGCATCATGATGAAGAGGAGCAAGGCTGCTGGCTGGCCTGAGATCAGTTACCTCACTAGTTATGGAATATGTTAGGATGCTGTAACAGCAGCACTGAGACCAGCAGTTTTTGCCACCAACAACAGAACTGTTTTTTATTTATAAATTGCTTATATAGTAATTCAGCAAGCACACATAGATCAATTTGTGAGTTTGCATCTACTTGGGATGGGATTGAGGGTGAGAGGAGGGAGATACAAAGGGGATCTCATATGTGAATCTGTATGGGAGGGGTGGGAAACCAACTGTTGTCTAGTTGTTTTTAACATTGTAAAGCGCTTCATAAATAAATGTGATCGATTGATTGGCCCTGTATAGAATATACATGGGCAAGCCTTATGGGTCCCACCAGGGTTTGTCTGCAGTTTCCACGGTGCGTGGCCCCACTGGGGTTTGCCCAGAAAGATTTTTGCCCACATAGATTTTAACAGGCCCTACACAGGTTTTCAGAGGGTTTGACTCAAACACTGGCCCATTAAAATCTTTGTGGGCAAACCCCAGTGGGGCCAATGTGGAAACCATGGACAAACCCTGGTAGGACCCACGCGGCTTGCCCATGTTCCATATGGGGCCGACACTGTACCCATTTGTTGGCTGTAATGATGTGAACTCTCCATTTCAGTAATTTAGTTATGTTATTTTTAAATGAGGGTAGCAAAATGAAACGGTGCAGTGTACTAAACAAAATTCCCTAAATGTACAAAGTACTTTTACTTATTTACTGTATACATATTTTCTGTCTGGCTCATCGGTTTCCCGATAAGAATCGTCCCACACTGGTGAAGATTAGGCCCATTTAAGGAAGGACGACTTGAGTCATATGATTGCCACCTCCATCCTTCTGTTTGTTTTAAGACAATCAGCTATGGTCAATGGAGTTCAGTCCATTTGGACAATACTGACAATCAAAATTTGACTTGTCCAAATGGACAAGAACAACTCCAAACTGCAAAATTTCCCAGTAGTTCCTGAAAGTTATAAACCTCATGTTCCCGTAGTTTCAGGCTGCCTGACCCAACCACTACCCACTGGAAGTGCTCTATTCTGATGCTGCTGGTGAGATTTAAACACGTAAACAACCAGCCCGACCTGGAGGGAGTTCTTGTTAATAAATGACCATGTTTGTGGGCGATTGTGCAAGGCTGCACTGTGAAATCCAGGTCACCAGGTGGCAGTGCCGGATATCCTTCAGCCTACTCCGTGTTTGGTGGCTCATTTGTTTATTCCGGGTTCAAATGCAGTGTATCTGACTTTTTTAGTGTGTATTTAGACTCAGAAATAAGTTAAGTGAGTGAATGAAAACATGTAATGCAATCAACACGAGACAGTGATGGTTTGCTTTAGTTTTCTTTAGATCCACTCGTTACAGTCACACCATTGATCAAGTCCAGACGTATTCACAACTCTGGCAAGCTTCGAAAAAGATGGCACAGTCACGTGGAAGAGGGACATGATCTGGGAGGAGTGTGTCATCGTTTTAACAAAAATATTTTCTTTTCATGAAGAGAATACTTTTTAACATATATATTTATATATATTAGGATAGAATAAAATTTCACCTCTGAAGACGTAGGGTCTTGTGTTTGGAAATCTAAAGTGTTGCATAGTTGAGGGGAAACAAACGGAGGGATCTACTAAAAACAAAACGAGTCAAAGTTTTTATGTCAAAAGCAAGAAGAGGGTTTGACTCCTTTCATCTGACCATTTTTGGCTCTGAACTCTTCGAGGTAAAACTCCAACTTGACCGTTTGAGTATCGGGGTGTGTAGAAACATTAGTAACCTATAATCTGTGCAAAGAAGAAGAAAATCCACAGCAATCCTATGTGATCACCTCAAACGTGAGCTCAAGACCATGTGGAGCGGAGATAAAAGCTTCTTTCAGGAATCTCGCAGATTGTATCTTCTACAAAGTGCCCCTCATCTTTCACCATTAAGAGTAAAACCAGAAAATATACTCTTGGCTTAGCTCCGTTTAGCTTAAAATACTGTCTATCTAGCTTTTGACTCATCAAAGCTCCTGTCCTAAAACTCAACGAGCTCCAATAACAAACTTCTCTTCTGCTTCTCCTCCCCTCTGACTTGGCCGTTTTCTGTTGAGGTTTTAATCGGAGCAGACGGGTCCTTGTCCAGCAGAACGCGTGCATCACTCTTGTTGGATGAACAGGTTCCTACTTGCAAACAGAGATGAGGAAACCCCAACGAGGCTGATAAAATGTGTAGATGTACGACGCCAAGTGTTTTAAAACCAGACATTAAAACAAAGTAAAAGGAGATCACAGTCTCTGCTGCTGGTTCAGACTCCACACGCTCCATCCGGCAAGTGTTAAAAATGCACTTTCCTTCCTCCCATTTTCGTTTGGCCATACATTCACTAGTCCTGAATCCTGCATGCTCATCAGCAGCTTCAATAGAGAAAACACAACAGTCTGATGGTCTCAACTTCTCAACCCCAAGTTGGGAGTCCGTTTTCCTTCTCAGTAGCATCCGCAGATGTCTGCCTTCCCAGTACGAGACGCCTGACGCCCACGGCGGTCACCGGAACTCATAGATGGCTGCACTGTGCTCAGGAACATGGGTGAGGTTTAACGACTGGTACCTGCAGCAGCAACAGAACAGGAAAGGTCAGGTCAAGTCAGGGAGCCACGCGCAGAAAAGCAGCTGTGTTAGAGTAGATTGAGCAGGCGTGGGGAACCCTGGTCCTCGAGGGCCGGTATCCTGCACGTCTTTGCTCCAACAATTCTGGTTCAGTGGTTGATTCACCTGTTCTGCAGCTCATCAAGCTCTGCAGAAGCCTGTTAATCACCTGCTGATTGAAATCAGGTGTGTTGAAGCAGGATTGAAACTAAGGCCTAGTCCACACGTAGCCGGGGTTTTTTAAAAACGAATATCCGCCCCTCCAAAAACTTGCATCCACACCACCGCGTTTTAAAAACAAACTCTGTCCACACGTACCCGGATAAATACGTTGTTAAGGACATGCCAGACCTGTAGGCGGCAGTACTTCCCCCGTTCTTAACCTCGTCCTTCGTCTGTGGTCTTCCGCAAGGAGCAGTAATTCCGCTTGCAAAAACAAACGAGCAAAAAGCGCTTGGACAATTGATGGATCGGGTAGTGACAGAGCGCAGCTCTGAGGGCTTCCATGATGTCGGCTAATGTAAACACAGGTCGCACACGTGATGTCAGCATTTTTTGTCGCGGAAAGTGACGTTGCGGACCTTAAAACTCCGGTTTTGTCCGTCCACACGCAGACAAACCAAAACGGAGAAAACGCAGATCTTCACTTTGGCCGGAGTTTTTAAAAAGATCCGTTTTCGTGTGAAAAAACTCCGTTTTCGTGTGGATGACAGGCCAAAACGTAGAAAAATATCTATGTTTTGGCAGATCCCCGGCTACGTGTGGACAGGGCCTAAAATATGCTGGATAGCAACCCTTGATGGACCAGGGTTCCCCACACCTGGAGTAGGGCAACAAGCATAAAGGGCACACAGTATGCAGAAACCTACCTGATGCTGTCACTGCAGCCCTACGTAGCATGTTGGTTAGCATGCTTAAATGATGCTAGCAGGTCTGAATTAAGGTCGTTTCTATTTTTATGTGCATTCCGTGAACGGTCACCAACTTTATTTGAGCCATTAGACTTCTCCTCCACCACCGTCCCTCTCTGCTGCCAGACACCAAGCCTTCGTTCCTCCCCAGATAGGATTTTACTGGCAGCAGTTAAGGTTTGCAGTTAAAATGTATATCCGATAGTTATAATTAAGAATGTGAGGAAACATCGGTACACTAAAAGATCGCAAATTTTGTTAATGTGATACTGAATCTACTAGGGGTGCGCCAGTTCACAATGTAATTGATGCATTGCAACGTGACACGTGCCGACTCAAAATCGATTCGTAAATGTTCATAAACGATTACAAACAAATGCCTAAAAGCAGCCGTGAAGCGTTGTAGGTATATAAACGTTATGCATGCCGCCCGGACACTTTAGGAGACGGCCCAGCGGAAAAAACAAAACCGCAACGATAGAAGCTTCTTTTATTAGCTTCAGCCACTGACAGCTAATCCGAAGTGATGGAATGAGTAGAAAAGAAACTTTGCAACAGCTGTCTGTTTTCAACTTGTCTGCTTCGGACAGTGTTCCTCAACCAGTCCTGCATGTTGTCCATGTCTCTGCTACAGCACACCTGGTCCACATATTTGCATTGCCTCCTTAGGATGACATCAAGTGCTGCAGAAGCCTGTTAATCACTCATTCATTTAAGTCAGGTGTGTGGCAGCAGAGAAACAATGCTGTTGGAAATGGCAACAAAGAAAATATGCAGGACACGAGGGAGCTGAGGACCAGGGTTGAGAAACACCGGCTTAGGAGCTAAACTTAACTCCTACTGTTTTAACATCCAGGGTTTTAGCTTTCAGCCACACCACAGTCGTTTTCTCTTACTGTAATGTTCAATCTAGACAAGGCTCCACAACAAAATACTACTTTTCATGATAGGGTTATGATTAGCGCTAGGTTAGGCTCTGTCATCAGAAAAAACAAATCTAACAGAGTAAATGTGTGACCGGTGGGTGTGTCTGCAAATGCACCAAAGTGTATCATCCTAAAGAAACAACACCTCATCAGTGTCTCCTTAAATGTTAAATTAGTGCTATTGTATCTTTCTCAGTGGTCTAATGGTAGAGTCTCCACCCTGGGACTGGGAGATCTGGGTTCAAATCCAGTACCAAAGACTTTAAAAAAGGGACCCAATGCCTCCCCATTTAACTCATTAGAGAGGGGAGGTGGGGGGTACAAAACAACGCTGACACGAACAATGGGCCAACAACACATTAAGACGCAGACAGGGTTTTATACACAGGGGCAGGATGATTGGGGAATGAGCTGCAGGTGTGTGGGGAGAGAAACCTGGTGAAATCAATTAACCACTGGGGAGAGGAGACTAAGCTGAGACAGAGAACTAAGGCCTAGTCCACACGTAGCCGTTTTTTTTTTAAACGAATATCCGTCCCTCCAAAAACTTGCATCCACACCACCTCGTTTAAAAAAAAAAACTGTCCACACGTACCCGGATAAATACGTTGTTAAGGACATGCCAGACCTGTAGGCGGCAGTACTTCCCCGTTCTTAACCTCGTCCTTCGTCTGTGGTCTTCCGCAAGGAGCAGTAATTCCGCTTGCAAAAACAAACAAGCAGAAAGCGCGTGGACAACTGATAAAGCGAGCGCAGCTCTGAGGGCTTCCATGATGTCGGCTAGTATAAACACAGGTCGCACACGTGATGTCAGCATTTTTTTGTTGCGGAAAGTGACGTTGCGGACCTTAAAACTCCGGTTTTGTCTGTCCACACGCAGACACCCAAAACGGAGAAAACGCAGATCTTCACTTTGGCCGGAGTTTTTAAAAAGATACGTTTTCGTTTGAAAAAACTCCATTTTGGTGTGGATGACAGGCCAAAATGTAGAAAAATATCTACGTTTTGGCAGATCCCTGGCTACGTGTGGACAGGGCCTAAAACATGACCTAAGAATAATAACAATGCCTAAAGACTAAAAAAACAAATAGCTAAAGATCTAAGACTCATTTAGAGTTTCTTTTTTACATTAATGGTATATTTTTTTACAGTAAGATGCCCACATTTTTATTTGAGACTCGCCGAACGGCATTGAATTCACAGATAAAAAAGGTGTGGGTGCAACTTTCATTTTGGAACAATTTTTCAAGCAAGGGAAGGGAATGATCTGAGCATGCAGGAGGACTGACCCATCATAAATCTTTGGCTGTGCTGAAGAGAAAGGTACAGAACCAAATTATTTAATTAATTAGCTGCATGTTCTCCTGTCCTCTGTCCTCCGGGCCACACACACACACACGGGACTGTCTCAGCTGTTATTTTCGTTAAGGAGTGTGCACGTACAGCATGCGCGCCTCGTGCACGAGCCTACTATTGAAGCTGCCTTCACGCTTTTGGCCTGAGGGGGCAATCGCGAGCATAAAAATTCAAAAGTCCGTAAAGTGCCTTTAAGAATCAGATGCTTTTTGCCACATCAGGAACTCATAAAAACACGAGTTGTTTTTTGTTAGATGCATAAAACCTCATTTTAAAAAGGACAAAATGCAGCAGCATAGACCCTTTTACTACCTACGTCATCAAAAGTTGCGCGTGCAGCCTGGCAACGAGAGTGAAGGCTTCCTCATTCACACTCGATACTAAAACAGCGTTTTAAACCCTTTGTTTTGAAGTTCTGAGCACATAAAAATGTCGGGTTGTTGCGTGTATGGATGCCAGAATAGCTTCTCTTCAAGCAGTGGACTGAAACTTTACAGAATTCCGAAGTTCTACATTTTTCCTGCTCAGGTCTTTCCATGCACATGCCTGAGATGTAACTGCAGCCTTTTCTGTTTTCCCCATCCTAACACAGAGCTCAACTTTGAATAAAATTGTTGCTGCATGGCTGCAGCATGACCCAAGTCTGGAACATCAAAATGACAGAATTAAACAAATTTATATGCTTTATTTCATGCTTCAAATTAACATTTCATTCTAATTCATCTGTATTTTCCCACTTCATATTAGTATAAACTGTATTTCTCTAAAATTAACACGATTGTACTCTGAGCACGCTAAAAAAAGAAACCTATGCTATACTCACCCTGCCATGCAGGTACAGTTGGCTGTGAAGACGTAGATCTCTGGTTTGTTTACTATGACCCAAGCCTCGTACATAGCAGTCTTGTGTCCTTGTCTTTGGCTAGGAAGGACTTCTGCCTTCAAGACGCAAAACTCAGAGTCTATGTCGTGATATTTTACTTTCTGTACGTGGCCACAGACAACATAGTTGTATGCATCTAACCATTTGTATGCCCGTAGCGTCTCACGTGTGTACTTACTGGGCCTCTCCACTAAAAACGTATATATATCGGGCCACTGGATATCTGGCCACGCACCTACATCTTCCACCCATTCCGTAATGCCACAGGGATCCGGGAGTCTGTTGTCATTCGTTAAAGTGAGTTTAATAATATAACATTCAAGATTTGCCGGTGATAACTCCGCAGCGTAGCTTGATAAAGCCTGAAACAACGCCATTCTCTGTTGCCAAGCTGCGCGCGCATTCTCGCTGACGTCATATGGTTTACGAACAGTAAAAGGGTCTATTAGGCGATTGAAAGAGCAGAACGATGAAAGTGCAAGACCCTAAACCATTGTGTCAGAAGATTGAATCCCTTTTGTGTTGATGCGTTACCATTCAGAACTCCGGTGGTAGTAGTAACCCTCAATTGTTGCTGTGGATTTCTGGAAGCAGATGTAGTAGAAACCAGCAAAGGAAGCGCCACTGATGTCTTTGATGGTGTGGTCTGGAACCAGAAACTGCTCCTGAAGGAGGAGAAGGAGAGGAGGAACGCCAGCAGCAGATAAGAATAACTTATTTAGGCATGGAACTTGGTCTGGTGACATCCAGGTAGCGTCTTACCTTCCACCTCATGAAAATATAATCAGAGTTCTTCAGATCCTTGTAGTCAAACTCGTCCGAGTTAAATATCTTTGCATACTGGTAAAAAGCCTGAAACTTACCCTAAATATAAAAAGAGTCAACTTCGCCATGATACTGTTTAGTCATGATGACTTTTACAGATTGGGAATAAAGTTGGACCTTACCCAGTGTTTACGATCTACATCCTCATCTGCATCCCACTTCCGAGTGAGAAACGGCCGCTTCCTGCTGATGATTTCTCCAGCAAAGAACGTGGTTAGTGTTGGATATTCCTAGAAGAACGGGCGAGTTGATTTCTGTTTTAGTTTGGGAATGCCAGAACATCACAGCCAGTATCAGCAAATCTGCCAGGTTCAGTTTCAATAAGAAATAAACATTCTGTCAGGGTTACAGTTGATCACCAAAGAGTTCATATTTAATTAGTCACAAAGACAAAACAAGAGCAGTCTGACCATGAATCCAGATGGACACAACAAGAACGGATCTTAGGAAATTCCTTAATTATCTGATGCTGATGTTGCTTCCATTACCTAAATTAAAGCTACTGATCTAAAGAGATGATAATCTTAAGAAACAGAGATTTCTGCAGAGGTAAAGTGTTAAAAACTAATTTATTCCGCCAGGAAAATATCCTGACTCTTCCACTCTTCTACGTGTAACCTTTACACTTATAAAAATATAGTTTTCTGTTAACAATTAATCTAGACAAACCTGATGCAGAGGTAAGACTCAAGAGAACTACATACAGACTAGAAGTGTTATGGCAATGATTTGCTCCATCAGGAAGCAGCCATCTAGCACTTGTTTATTTATCTGTATATTCTGCATCTCACTGATCTTTGCCATTTAAAGGATGCGAAACTGAAATAATACAGTTTTAATAGGTGAAGTTCTTCAGTCTCATTTCAAATACATGCATGGGCTAGAATTAGAAAATTGTGGATTAAACCGATGTAGGCCTTTTGAGAAATCAGAAATACAGTTTTCTTTCTAAAGGCAAGAAAATTCAGTATGAATCAAATTTAAGCAACAAAACACTTCGTGTCCCTGCTCACCTCTGTCAGCCCTTTTATCTTCAGGTAGCCACACAAGTAGGAATCTTCCATTGTGACATGCTTTAAGAAGAAAAAAAAAGATTTTCATCATCCAAGTCAGCAATAAACGTGCTTTAATCTACATTCGTATGGATCCCATGATTATGTTTCATAAACATGCTAAAACAGCCTGTTGGTCTTTGAAAATCATATCAAAAAGTCCACCTTTTCAGCAGCATTTAGTGAAAATTGACTAGAGACCAAGTACAACACTGATGATGGTCTGATTCAGGTAGGACAGAGTGTTCAGCTGTCAATCATCACACGGTCGGTTTGACACATCACATTAATGACTGTATACACGCTTCAATTCCTACCTGCAGGACAACCTCCACATCGTAGGAGTTCCCTTTGCTTTTCTGGTGGCCCCGAAACTTAGAGCCGCTGTACAGCAGCGAAGTGACGACGCCGGGCTGCTGAGTGTTTATAGGGGGTGGCGGGATAAGTGAGGCCGAGGATGTGAAGGCCGCTGCGGGTGAGTCGCTGATGTATCCAGCAGGGACGGGCATGGCTCCCACTTCGCTGGCTGAGCACCAACCACGGTCAAAACACTGTGTTCGCCTCTTCGAACAGCTAAATGTTTACTGAATACGCTCACCGATATTCAAATTTCACTTAATTCCAATGTAGCACAGTTTACCAAGCTGCTCGAGAAGTAAGTGGACTTGCTGTGCTGTAGCCAGGAGCATTCACCTCTCTGATTGGTCGACTGAGTTCGCCGTACGAAGATTCTAAACGCTTATTGGCTGAACGTGCAGAAGGATTTACGTGACTATTTGGTTGTAGTTTTTCCCCCTTTTGTAATGCAGCGCAAAGGGACTAAGAGGCTCCTAAAAAAACTACATTTCCCACTAAAGTAAACAGTTTACGACACTGTCAACCAACTCGCAAAGAAGGTCAGCCAGCGTGCTTGAAACGCCGGAGCTTGAGACGAGAACAAATGCTAAAACTGCAAACAGTCTGTAAATGATAGATGTAAATGTCATTCCGTTTACGATGTTGCGCTATTTTAAGTGAGAAACGGTGGGAAAAAGCTTTGCGATTTGTTTCTGTTTTATTATTAGCCTTACGCCAAAGTCGCTGAGCCATGTTTAGAAGTCTTATTAGACTCAAGAGTCCATTTGGAAGTGTTATTTCTCTTTACAACGTGTGCCCGAGGCATCAACACTCCAGTTGTACGCGGAAGTATTCCACCGCCACATCAGGTTAGACGGAAAATATTAGTAAATCCGTTTAGCTGACGATTTCATTAACCCTGTTTTCTTTTGCGATGTTGTGCTGTGTACCAGAGAGGAAGAAGTTTTATCAAGATGTAAGCATCTCCCAAGGTGAAGGTAAGAGGAAATGTTCCATTCCTGTGTTTACATCATTCTGTCTTATGGTTGTGCTAAATATTAATAGCAATAATAATCTGTACAGGTGGTCTCTACGAGATAAACCTTGACAGAAGGAAACTGAAAACTCCAGGTGGGAACCTGTTCGTAGTGCCTAATGAGGCCCTGGCCGTCGCTGTGGCAACAGAGTGGGATGCTCAGAAGGATACGCTCAAGTTCTACACTATGCATCTGGTATTTGGCTATGCACACATAAAGCTGTCAGCCAGCTGCCCTTTCTCTATTACGTGTGTGCGTGTGTGTGCGGGAGTTTGCATCTGCTTGGGACGGGATTGAGGATGGGAGGACGGAGATACAAAGGGGATCTCTTATGTTAATCTGTGTGGGAGGGGTGGGAAACTGGCTGCTGGGTTGTTTTTAATATTGTAAAGTGCTTTGAGCAGCATTTGTATGGAAAGCGCTTCATAAATACATTTTGATTGATTGATTGATTGAGAAAATAAATTTTAAATACAACGAGTGACTTCACCTCTGTAATAAGGGTACATTCCAGGAAATGCGTTGTCCAGCTGAGTGTGAGGTGTCCATTTATGGATTATATACAGTATGCATGCTTATAGCTATGTCCTGTCAGTTACTGAATCATGGATCTGATGTTCTTGCTAAACACTTCTTGCAGACGACTCTGTGCAACACAGCTCTGGACAATCCAACTCAACGCAACAAGGACCAGATGATCACTGCTGCTCTGAAGTATTTGGAAACAGACACCGTTTGGTAAACTTGTTATTTTTATATCTATATCAGATAAAACATTTGTTTATATAACTGAAACAACGGCAGGGTTATACAGCCCAAAAATAAAATCTCTGATTTTATTTTTTAAATTTGATTTACGATTCTCTCTCCCCCTCAATTATTAAGAATAGCAATAAGTACAAATGGAAGGCAACTTAAAGCCAATTTTGTTTTGTATTTAATCACAAGCAAGAGAAATGTTACCCTTATTTCTGAGATGAATAATGAATAAATGATCACCCTCTTGGAATAAAAGTGCCAAGCTCCACATCCGTCGCAGCAAACCCAAACCAGTTCCATACAAGGGATGATTTAATTCCTCTCGTAGGAACAAACTTCCCACTCTCACCGGTGGCCATGGAGTCACTTGCTGTTGCACATCCGTGTACGTGCTGTGACGTTGTTGTCGCGGTTATGTGAAACTAATGCTACGGAAGCTCCGGGGGGCCAAAAAGGCGCTATTACATAAAAATTTGATTTGCTTTCTTTAATCGCCAGCAACAACAAATTCGGCCTGGGTGATGATTTGATTATCGCCCAGGCCTAACTGAAACTAAACCAGGAAAACTAAGCATCCAGTAAGGATCAAAGGTCATTATACCAATATTTATACATCACTGCTTTTAACACAAGACAGTTGAGCTCAGATGAATGGCAGAGTAGATTTTCATAATCCGTCAAAGGTGAATGCACACAGGCCAGTTGAGCAAGTGGACACCTGATTATTTCTATTGTAGTAAATGCAAAATGCATTTTTCAATTAGTGATTCCATTTATTAAAGAATTAAATCTTTCCAAACCAATTTGACCCTTGGAGCCAGCAGCTGTCATCAAGCACATGTGGCTTTCACATCTCTGTGAAAGATTTATGTCCCGCTGCTCGTTACAGAAACTGAAATCAGCCACATTGGAGGGTTTTCCAGCATGAATTACCTGTTTAAGGTCAAAGGTCAGACATTCTTCTTCAGGATGTTTTGCTAAGGAAGCAGCCTCAGACCATCACACTACCACCACCCTGTCTGACTGCAGGGACGATGTCTTTTTCCTGAAATGCTGTCAGTTTTACCCCAGGTGTTAAATAGCCTTCATAAAACCAGGTGCAAGAAAGTTCAGATCTAAATGAATTAGGAAAAGACACGTTGTCATTTAGATATTTTAGTAGTTGTCATTGATGGTGGCTGTTTGCAGATTAGTTTTAAGTTTCGTACTATTTGTTTTGTTTTGTGTAGTTACAGAGTCGATGAGCCTCCAGGTTTGGTCGAGCTCCAGAAGAATGAGTGGGACCCTGTGCTGCACTGGATTGAAAACAGGTGACAGACAGCATTTTGTTGTGATCAGAGCTGATCTGCTTGTGTTAAAGCCATCCAAACGCTCCCGGCCAAGATGCTGCACTAAATGGTTATCTTTCATGACCGCATGGCAGGTACGATGTCACTGTTGGATCCTCGTCCAGCATTTTGGGTCCTGAGATTCCAGAAGCAACCAAAGACACATTCAGGCAACACTTGAGCTCCTACAACCTCTGGTCCATGACAGGTACGAAGTCCAGATGTTTTTTTTTTTTAAAGGGATCGTGATTTATTTATTTTTGTGGTGACTTTGAGCTTCACTTTTTGTCTGGTTGCTTTCGAGCAGGACTGGAGTTTGTGATCACTCAGCTGAAATCTGTAATTCTGTCGCTGGGGATGATCGACAGACATCTGAGTGTGGAGGAAGCTGTGCTGCTTTCCAGACTGGAGGAGGAGTACCAGGTAGGAATTACCAAAAACATCAGCTTCTTCATTTTGCTGCGGGGTGGGGTGGGTTTTGGTCGTATGAACTTGAGTCTCATTAACTTAGTGCCCAAAGAACCGTTGAAGCAGGGTTCTTCTTGCTAAAACATTCAAGCTTTCTTTTTTCTCGTTTTGTGTCTTTGACAGATTCGGCGCTGGGGAAATGTGGAGTGGGCCCATGACTACGACATGTATGAGCTGAGGGCACGGACGGCCGCCGGAGCTCTTTTTGTTCAGCTCTCATCTGAGAGTTCAACCATCAAACACAAGCTCATGCAAGACTGATGACGATTCAGATTACCAGTTAGCTTAAAGCAACAATCATGTTCCACGACCTGCAGCAGATCTAACATGAAACCAACGTGATGTTGTAGAGGTCCCCCTTCCTCTGTTGCTGGATGGTGTTTGTATGTGGCAGCTGTGTCTCTAGTTGGTCATCAATCACTTGTGACATTTGCTGGACCCAAACACACATTTGAAGATGGTGCTTTTGTCTTCTTCATTATAAAAACAGTGCTTGTTCTTATAAAATCTGTGTGAGAAATGCTCTCTCAGATTAAAACAAACATTCTGGAGTAGGATTATACTTCTGTAAGAACACATTCAACATGTTTGTGTCTGTTCCTTCTGTTTTTGCTTTTTCCATTGTGATATAAAGCAACATTATGTGTGCCAATGATGGTTATTGTGAAAAAAACAGAAACAATGGTTGTCTTGCATTTCTGAATAATTTTCTACAATAAATGTAGACATCCCTGTTCAATTTAATTATGGATCAGATTTCAGGTTTTAGGTTTCATTTATGGCACTTATTGCTTTTAGTTTTTTGTAATTTAGTTTTTTTCCCCCTTGTGACTCATTTTAATGTATTTTGTGTGCAGCTCTTTGGGGCAATGGCTGTTGCCCTCTAAATGTGCTATAGTATCAATAAAATTTAACTTGACTTGGATCTGGATCCATTTTGTCTTCATTTACTACAAATATTCAGAATACATCAGCTTGACTTTTGAGTTGTAAGAAAAAATGTAAACGTGATTTTAGATCCAGCACCTTTGTAGTTTTGTGGGATTTTAAAAAAGTTTTAAGGTTTTACTAATTATTTTTAGGGTTAAACATGGTCTGACCATATCATCCAAGTGATCTCAGAATCTACTCAAGATTTTAGTTTCAGCCAGTTTCTCTTCAAAGGTCCAGCAAAGGCACAAATGTGTGGCCCGCACCACAAACTGGAAAAAAAGAACTGCTTTGCATGGATAAAATACTCGGTGTTTACGACTCAGACGTTCCTTTTGATTCACACAGAGGACTTTAAATTTGTGTACTTTGCTGAGACTTTTAGAATTTTTAGTTTGTTTCCTAAAAATGCAAAAGACAATCAACATTCATCTACTTTGTTAACTTGATTTTTAATTTTCAGTTAAATGAGGTTGCATTTCAGGCAGTAATGTTTTTAAAACAAAAATATAAAAGCGCACACATTATTCATTAACTTTTTATTTATTTAGTTTACATTGGATAATGTTCTGGGACAGAACTGTTTTATTATCTTAACCCTTGGACCCTTTTATTTAGTTCTTCTGAAGGACATCAGCATTGCCCAATCAGATTACAGTGTTGGATATTCTGACCAATCATATTACCGTTGTAGGCGGGGTTTAGGCACGTTTTCCCATGTATCATCATCATCATCATCATCATCATCCTATGGACTGACTTGTTTGTTGTTGATGAAGATGGAGTTCCTTTTGGGGAATCCTTTCACTACCCCCGTTGGCCATTGTATCGGTAAGCAGCTGGATATTCTGGGAGCAGAAACACGCTCGTTTCGCCTTAAGTAGTTCGACACCGTGTCCATTTTGTGTTAGTCATTTACGGGTTAGCTACCCGTTAGCCGCCTAGCTAACTCTTGCTATTGCAGAAACACATTCGTCATTGTGAAAACATGGACTTTGAATAATAAAATATCTGTTTTTGTCATTTCTCAAGACGACGGTTGGTGTCAAACGGATTTAACCCGCGTCTATGTTTAAATACCTGTTAGCCAACAAGCTAACAGATAAAGCTCGTTATGTATGTGTTGCATCGTCATCATCTCATTAAATGACTGCATGTGTGTCTTAGAAAGAGCTACCGACGGCTCCCTGCAAGGTGAAGACTGGACTCTTAATATGGAAATCTGTGATATCATCAATGAAACAGAAGACGGGTGAGTTATTGCACAACCACTCATTAAACACATACGTATGTGCACTGTTCTATTCCAGTGGTGTTTACGTTATGCATTCCTGCCTATTCAGATAAAACAACAACAACTGTGTTTTCATCTTTCTGTGTCATAGTAGGCACAGACAACCTCGCTGTAGGTGTGTGAGGTGGATACGTGCGGGCCTCATTGCTTATCTCATTGCACCATAAACGTGTGTTGCGTGTGTTTAAAGCCTTTGTGTGAAGTCCAGCTCTTGTTTGATCAGTGGGATGGTAAACTGGCTCAGGCAGGCCATGCGGTTGGTGCATTAAAGTAGTCTGACTCAAAGCAATGGATGCCACACTTCACCCTGATGATACCTTTTGGTATCTTTTGTTTCCCCTGCTTGAAGCATTGTGTGTTTTCACTTGTGCAGACCAAAGGATGCCATTAGAGCAGTCAAGAAGAGACTCAATGGCAACAAGAACTATAGGGAAGTGATGCTGACTTTAACGGTAAGTGTAAATAGGAAATGCAGTACAACATTATTAACTGGTTATCAAATGTAACAATAAGATTGGATACAACAGACTTCAGATAACAGGTTAATAGAGTATTACGTAGAGCTAATCATAACAGGACACCTAAGGTATGTTCAGCATTCAACGCCCAACTATAAACATGCATTCAACAGATTTCATTTGTTTGTTGTTGGTTGTAACGATGCACCTAAAGCTATTTATTCTCTTCTCAGGTTCTTGAAACGTGTGTGAAGAACTGCGGCCATCGTTTTCATGCTTTAGTGACAAGCAGGGACTTTGTTGATGGCATACTCGTTAAAATCATCTCTCCTAAAAATAACCCACCTACAATCGTCCAAGATAAAGTTCTTGCCCTGGTTCAGGTAAGCTCACTACCGCTGACAGCACACAGTCTGGGTTTGCAGCATTTGTCTAGTTTGTATGCATCTGCCGCCTGCAACACAGATGTCATCATCCTACCTCTCTGCTAGGGTCTCTCATCCCCTTTAGTCCAGATTGTTATGACCTTGTTGACCGTGTGTTGCAGTGTCAGCTTTCTGTCTATAATTGAGTTGCTATAGATACAACATAAAAAAGGCAAGTCAAACCAGGAGTGGAGAATAAACAACATGGTCGTCTTTAGGGAAAATCCTGAGGGAGGTGACTTGTTATTATCACTTAGATAATGAATCCTCCGGGTCCACGAGAGTTTAGAAGTGTTTCCAAATGGGTGAAAAAGCCCCTCTTTTGAAAAGAGTTAATAAAGCAGTTCTTTATTGCCACTTTTTTGACCGTAGTTAAAACTGTAGAGCCCACTGCCGTGAGCGTCCGTGCACTGCGGTCTGCACATGCTGAAATATGAACAAGTGGGCTTCCGTCCTTCATCAAAGACCTGCATGTGCCAGAAAACACACAGGCTTCCTTATCTCCTCAGCAAGCATGAAACGAGAGTCACTCTAAAATTGTCTTCACTAAAAGTTAGGGATCCCAGCAGAGATGTTATTTCTAGTGATGTGTTGGTCCTGAAGCTGAGCCGATCTGTCGTGGTGAAGAGGGAGCTGAGCCAGAAAGCCAGGCTCTCGATTTACCGGTCGATCTACGTCCCAATCCTCACCTATGGTCATGAGCTTTGGGTAATGACTGAAAGAACGAGATCGCGGATACAAGCGGCCGAAATGAGTTTCCTCCGTAGGGTGGCCGGGCTCAGCCTTAGAAATAGGGTGAGGAGCTCGGACAGTCGGGAGGGACACGGAGTAGAACCGCTGCTCCTCCGGATCGAAAGGAGTCAGTTGAGGTGGTTTGGGCATCTGGTTGGGATGCCTCCTGGACGCCTCCCTGGGGAGGTGTTTCGGGCATGTCCTGCCAGCAGGAGGTCCCCGGGTCGACCCAGGACACGTTGGAGAGGTTACATCTCCAATCTGGTCTGGGAACGCCTTGGGGTCCTGCCGGAGGAGCTGGTGGAGAAGGCCGGGGAGAGGACGGTCTGGAGCTCCCTAGTTGGGATGCTGCCCCCGCGACCCGGACCCGGATAAGCGGAGGAAGAAGACGACGATGACGTGTTGGTTGTGAACAAATGGCTCATAGGAAGGAGTCAGAGTGTGACACAGAACCCGCAACCCTCATCCTAAACTGAACCGCTAACAAACACACACGCACCTGGCTCTCCTGCACACATACACACCTCTAATTGTTCTGAGACGGGGTGGGTAAAGCACATCTCTGATCGCTGTGAAAGCAGGGAGGGGGTGGCGCTCGCAAAATGCCTGGGGCATTTATTACATTCACTGATGGGACCTGTAAATATTTGTGAGGGCACATCTAACAGAGGAAGAAAGAAAAACAAACAGTGCTGCCGAGAGGTGACGAGATGAGCGAAAACAGGACAGGCAGCAAGATTTGGACACATTTTAACTGTGGTAGTGATGGGTTGGTTGTGAACGAAGTGACTCTCAGAGCCGGGTCATTGATGTGACTGGTAGGAGCCAGCTGCCACTTGGAGGAGACCGTGACACAGACCGTACCCTCAAGCCCTGAAGCTGCTAAGAAAATGGCCAAATGTGCATGTGTGCAAGCACACATGCGGCCTCTGATTACCGTGAGACTACTGATGAGACCTTTAAGGCAACAAGTAAACACGGGACAGGTGCTGAGTATTGGATGCTTTTTCAAATTCAAAAGCAGAGTGGAATATGCAAAGGGTAAATGTGTCCAACAGGCTCGAATAGTTCAAAGTTAATAAATATTTCACTTACAGAGTTTGTTTTTGCAGCTCTCTGCTTCATGTTGTATAAAGTTCTGACATAATGTATATTTGTAGATCAGTAATGCAGTTTACACACAGTTTTGTTTCATTTCTGGTGATGAATACATTTAAGAAACAAAAAATGCGGGGGGCCTTTTGAGAGCCGTAAGAGCCGGTTCTAGTAAAAGAGCCGGAGTTCCCATCACTAGCCATAAACTTCAGCTCAGGCTCAGGCTCAGAACTACAAGAGAAATCCCACCTCTGCCATTGCTCGTTGTGACAGAAGTTTAAAGGTAGACATGGATACTCAGCTTATTTTGTTTTACCAGTTAGACCAAACATAGTTTAGAAGAGATCATTCCAATCAGCATAAAAGATCTGCATTCAGATAGTAAGAGACTTTATGTTCAAAATGCACACCCTCAGCTCAGAGCTGGGGCAGTGTGTCAGTTTGACCTGATATCGGCATGATCGGGTCAGAAAATCAAATTTTCCCAGCCCAATAATGATTAGTGCACGCTGAAGGTTGGAGTTTATTATTATTATGAGTAGTAGGTGTTATACGCAGACAGAACCTCAGGCGGAGAGTTGTTCCCCCAAGGACGAGAGCCTGGAGCAGCTCCAGTTACCTGCCCTGGCTCAGGTAACCTCGCGTAGAGCTGCTCTTATTTCCATCACAATGTGGACCAAAAGGACAGATCGCATTCTGGAGGGACTTGTTCCACCTGGACAACAGAGTCTAATTGGTTTTTGTTTACTGGGCATTTAAACAAGCAGGTTTGCTAACTGGAAAGTGTTTGTGGTGAGATGCACGGATCTGCAGTCCCTCACACAGCAGCTGAGGTCTTGTGGACATTTGAAGTGAGTTGGGCAACAGACTGTAGACGTGTTGCACAAGCCGTTTAGCACCTGTCTCATTTGGCAGGTGTTCCTACATGTGCCGTGGGGGTGAGTAAAACATCCTTACACAGCAAAGCAACCTGATGTGTAAAGGAGAAATGCTCAAAGTATCTGATGTGAGATTTATTTATTTATTTAATCAGGAGGCCCTCTCCATCCAAAGTCCTTGAGAGGTTGATTTTATCTGTTGTTTATTGTGCTGGAACTGTGGAAATATCTGCTCAGACAAATGCTTCTAGAAACTTTTATAGTTCTCAAAAATCTGCAATTGTTTCATTTAACGAACGAAAGTCACACAGTTAAGAAAGAGTCGACTAAAAATATTATTCCTCTAATTTAAAATGTTTTCTTTTTCTTTATGTAAAGTCAAGCCAATTTAAATGAGTCATTTTTTTACTATTTCAGCCACAAAGGTCTTTTTTGTTGGGTTATCTTGAGACTTCACTAAAGTTTCCATTTGGCTGAACTTCAGGTTTTTTTCTTCCATCTTCTCAGACGTTCAGAGTTGGTGGTGCAGTCAGCAAACGCTTCATTTCTGCTCTGTTCTCATAGAGCAGGTCGTTGGGCCATTGATTCTTTGAAGGATAATATCTTTGGCTCTTTGAAGCTGATCTAACCTTTTGGTTTATTTATTTTTTATTCATCACCCAAACTTCAAAGAGCTGAATGAAATCAACCGCGTGCTGCTTCCCGAGTAGAAAAGTAACGCGACACATCTCTCCTCACACACGAGATGAGAAACCCCAGCTCAGCGGCTGCCGGCTGAAGCTCTGCTTTTATAGTTTTCAGGCAATTAGAAATGTTCAGGCGTAGTTCTTGTGTTGGGTATGATGTCATCTACTGGTCCTGTCCCATTTTAAATAAGCGTCTCGTTTTTAGTTTTTAACCCATTTTTAATCTGTTTTCTGCAGGCGTGGGCTGATGCATTCAGGAGCAGTCCAGACCTCACGGGCGTGGTTCAGGTTTACGAGGAGCTAAAGAGGAAAGGCATTGAGTTCCCCTCGTCTGACCTGGAGACCCTATCGCCTATACACACACCTCAGCGGGTAGGACAGATCAAACGGGTCAGAGCCTTGATAACGTTTCTGAGTAGAACTTATGTTCTGTGATGTTTCTCATTTTTGCCTTCTTTCGGTTCTGTTTGTAGGCAGCTTCTGCTCCAGTGGGCGACTCAGCTCTCCACAAGCACAGCAGCATGACTAAACCTACAGCGCACACTGTCCCACCAGCCTACACCACCTCTCAGGTTCCCAACATTCATGCATCAGGATCCATCAATCCTACCCCCGAACAGGTACAGACTCGGCAACAGAACGTTTATTCAGATCTAATCACCTCAAAACATTGGCGGGGTCATCGATCCAGAGCTGTGACTTGGTTCGTTTAGGAGCCTTAACTCAGTTTCATTGGCTACGCTTAACCAGCCGCATCAAGTATCTGAAGTTTTCTTACCAAGTCCCATCTGCTTAAGCCCTCTCGCTAAGGCTAATGTCACTCGGATCATCTAGTGTCAGATAGCAGTGCCTACACCACACTCGAGACAATCCAGACTCTTTTCACGATGGTGGAACGATCTACCAAGTTCTAGCAGAACAGGAGGATTCCTGTCTGTCTGACCCTAACTCTGGCAGACCCAGATCTTCAGACGGCATCTTCTGGACTCTCTTCTTCTCTACTGCATTCTCTTTGTGCACTTCCCTCTTAGCTTGTACTCCGTTTTCCACACTCTCACCTCTGACTGGTGTTCTTCCCACTAAGCGCTTCACTGTCAGCCGCAGGTGTAACTGTGTTGTTATTTTCTCATTTCTAAGTCTCCTTGGACAAAAGCTTCTGCCAATTACATAAACATAAACTTAGGAGTACATAATGGCCTGTTGGCTATTTTAGCCAAGCAAGAGCTAGTGCAGGGTTTCTGCTGTATGTGTTTTGCCGAGGCGCGCCGCTGTGGCTGTGGCTAGCTGTGGCTCGTTAAATGCAATATTGCGACTTTGACGCTTCAAGGGTTAACTTTCCAGTCCTTCTAATGCTATGGTTCTAATTATTGGCATTTGCTGTTTTGGCTTTTGGCCTTGGTTTTCTCATTTGTGGTTTTGGCCCAGACGTTTCGTTTTGGTGCATCCCTAATATGTATAAAACTTAAGCACAATTATTATTATTCTTCTGTTCATGCCACACAGATTTGTCGACTACGCAGCGAGCTGGACGTTGTTCGTGGAAACACTAAGGTGATGTCAGAGATGCTGACTGAGATGATGCCGGGTCAGGAGGATTCTTCAGACTATGAGTTATTACAGGTAAAGTGTGTGTGTGTGCGCGTGTGTGTGCGCGTGCGTGCGTGTGTTCACCCACCTTTCAGCCAATCTTAATCTTAAAAGACCAAAGGTGACAGATCATTTGCTGCTGCGGCCCCCAGACTCTGGATCTCTCTCCCCCTGAGCCTGAGATCAGTGGACTCAGTGGTCTCCTTCAAACAGCAGCTGAAAACTCACCTGTTCACCTGGCTGGCTGTGGTGTGACCTTCGTCACCACCCTCCTTGTTCTGCTCTTTTTACTATCTCCGCCTTTCCCAGGATCCACTGATTTCCCTCTTTCCTATTCATTTTCTATTTCCCTTTCCTTAAATTTTTAATCACTTTTCCTAATTGTAACCATATTTTTTAATCATTTATTTTTTATATAAAGTGAAGCGCCTGGTGATTATCGTGAGAGGCGCTATATAAAAGCTTGTTTTCTTTCTTTCTTAATCACCCGTCTCTGTGCCGTATTGTTCAGGAGCTGAACAGGACCTGCCGAGCCATGCAGCAGCGGATAGTGGAGCTCATCTCCTGTGTTTCTAACGAGACGGTTACTGAAGAGCTGCTGCACGTAAACGACGACCTCAACAACATCTTCCTTCGTTATGAAAGGTCAGGAAGCATCGACAGACCTGACTTTTTATGACATGAAAAGGAAATGATGCATGCTCAGCTCTTTTATTCCATGTTTTGTTTATTATGTCACTCAGGTATGAGAGGTTCAGATCTGGGAGGTCCTCGGCTCAGAATGTCAATAACGGAGTGAGTTTTCCGCCTCTGGCTTTTGCTTGAACCAACAATGACCTGTCTGGTTCTCAGTGGCATCTGGTGAATTATTTTTTTGGTGGGATGCATTTATGCTGTCTTTAGATGTTAGATACACTTAGTACATATCACTAAACACGTTGTTTTACAAGTATTCTTCTCATGTCACGTTGTGTTTTCATATATTTATATTTTAAACACTTGTCGGCCGAGGTATTCCTTACATTTGAAGCATGTAAGCGTTAGTCTAACGCTATTGGTTAGTTCTGGTCGGCGCTCAGTTTCCTATTGCGGGGCAGGGGGCGCGCTTAGCAAAAAAACAAAGTCGTATTGCTTACATGATATCACAGTACATGATAAGACAATCACTTTTACAGATTTCAGAAAAATCATACATCATTTCTAAAAGGGGAAAACTCCAGAAAGATACTTTAAGGTGTTACAAAGACAAGCATACAGCGAGGAGGAGAGTTTCTGTTGTTGTCAGTGACTCAACAACGGACACTAGGGGGTGCTAAAAGCAAGCCAAACTGTAACGTTTCCCTTTAGTTTTGTGTTTTCACAGTTCTGGCATCATTTGTTGTCTACTGTGTTGACCTGCATGTCCATCACCTGTCAGGCCTTTAAGTGTCACTTCATACAGGATCAGTCAGATATACTAGCCTTACTAGATGGAGGCCCAGCAGAGACATGGACTCATTTGATCCTTAAATGCAACACGCAGCATTTGTGGACCACACTGTTGTAGTCAGGGTCCTATGAAGTCCTTTTTTTACTATCCTGAATGTCTTTTTTTTTTAGGATTTCACCACATTTTTACACCTATAATGTGTCTTATTATGCAGTGGATTATTGGCAACAATTCATTGGATGTTTGAAATAATGGGAATACCCTTAAATAACAGAATTAGAAACGCTTCATTTGGGCCAATGTTTCACCTAAACAGGAGTCACTTTATTACATTCCTACGTCTCATTCTGCAAAGTCCTTAAGAAACTCCAGTCTCGTGTGTTTGCATGTGGAACGGGTCGCTGAGAGTGAGGCTAACGCTAGCTCACTCCTTTTTGATGTTTTTTAGATCGACACACATTTTTTGTCCCCTCAAAACAGAGAAATATGTCTGCTCTAAACATACTTTTAGCTTTACATGTGTGTAATTAAACCCTGCAGCGTCATGGGTCCTACACAGTAATCACAATGCAGTAAAAGAGACGTGTTGCAATTAAAAGCAAAGCTGTTTGAGGATATTTTACTGGAACCTTCTCATCCTTCTTTTAAGGTTTCCAGTCATTTAGGCATCATGTGTCTTCCACTACATTGTGTCTCTGCACCAGCATGTAAATGGTATTCACTGTGTCCTCCTTTTTATTCTTTTTGTTGCTGTTCTTCTGTTTGTGTGGCTAGCTGAAACAGGCAAGTATGAAAACTGTCCTCATCCTCCCTAAACCTGCAGCCCCCTCCCCCAGTGACACGACAGGGTGATATGGGCTCACACGCTCCCCATGTGGCATGCTTTGACTCTAGTTCCCAGAGCCTGGAGGTAGACGAAGGGAATCACGCTCATGTTGTGTCTGCACTCTCCCACAGATCCAGTCCTCCCTCCCTGCTGTTTCCCTGCATTCTTAAGGGGATCCTTTCTTTCTTTGCAGTGCATTAATTTTTCAAAACACAATCGTTCATCAGTTTGTTCATTTTCTATGAACAAGATCCGTTTGAAATGATTCCTCTAAAAGGATTTGGCCTCCCTGAAGCCCCTTAAGAAACAGCTTTTCAGACTTTAGCCACAGATTCTTTTGTACGCTTGTTCAGCTGACCAGCAACTTTTTATGCCTTTTATGCCCCACATCTTTCTTTAGGAAAGTTTAAAGCACAGAAACCTTTTGTTTTAGTATTCTTTTAAATCCTATAATGAATATAAATATAGGTTTCCCTGCCAATCCCCATAGAAAAAGGTTAATTAGCAGATTTATTCTTTCTTCTTTGCTCTAATTGGAACTAAAAGCTGTTTTTGTCTGATTGTTTATCATTTTTAGGTCCTCAGTGAAGCTACAGAGGACAACCTCATCGACCTTGGTCCGGGCTCCCCGGCGGTGGTTAGTAACATGCCGAACGCTGCACCAACCAGCTTACCCCCAAACTTAACAACCCCTGCAGGGAGACCCTCCTCCCCCGCCACCCTGGCCTCCCGTCTGGCTGGTCTAGGTACTCGCACTCTCTTATTCTGTTAAAAGCTGCTGATATCTGCCCCAAACAGCTGAGAACAAGTAACTGAAAAGTTCTGCTGAGCCCTGGGCTGAGTTCTACATCCTGTCAGGATTAATACAACATATTTTATTTAGAAAGTGGTGATTATGAAAATGTTTAGCTTTGCTCCCCACCCACTGATGCTGCTGTAGCTCACAAGCCTGACCACAAGGAGGGGATGTTACTTATTGAACCTGGCTGCAACAAATCCCAATACTATAATGAGGCTAGCACCACATCAGTAAACGCAGCATACAGCAATTATCTGCACTACTGTTTGTTTTATTTAGATAGAAATTTGGTTGCAATCCTTAAAGTGTTTGTGTCCACGACAGACATGGGCGCAGACAGTGTGAGCAGCACCCTGAGCTCCCTGGGCAGCTGTAAACCTCCACCTGCACAAGACGACTTTGATGTTTTCGCTCAGACCAGGACTGGAGCCATCTCTGAGACACACAAGACGTAAGAAGACACCACAAATCCGATTCTGGTTCTACAATAAAAGTCAACTTCAATGAAAAAACAATTTAAATTATTATTTCTGATTATAATTGATCACTCTGAGTTTGCCAGTCTGAGTTTGGACTCTTGTAGGGCTGCACGATATTAGGAAAACCTGTGATATGCGATAACAGTGATTAATTAATATTGCGATGACGATATTACTTGCGATAAATAAAAACTTATCTCAGGAACAAAAATAATCAAAAACAAAGAAATAAAAAAAACATAAAAATGAGAAAAGCAAAATATGTGAGGAAAGGGAAAAAGAAAATGAACAAGAAAAGGCCGTCAGTGGATCCTGGGAAAAGTAGAATCAGCAGAAAGAGCATCCATCAAAATTAGGTGCCGCCCGCCTCGGGGGCGGGACTCTGACCTATGAGAACCCACCCACTTGGCCAAATGGGTGAAGAGCTCTATTTGATGTGTTAAAAAAATCATGCTTCTGTTTGATTGACAGCATGCATCATGTGTAGCAAACATTTGAGCTGACCATTCATTACGATATTTATCTGATCTTTGCAATATGCATATTGTGCATGCTGATATTGCGATAACGATATTTTTACAATTTATTGTGCAGCCCTAGACACTTGTCTCCTGATATTTGAACATCTTGCCTCTGATTGGTTAAAAGTAACGTGACTCTACCACTGACTCCATTTGCTCTGCAACGTTGATGTTTAAGCTCTATAAATAGCACGAGCCTGAAGGAGTTCGGCTGTGTGGTTGAGTGGCTAATGCTAACAGTTAGCTTTTACTAGTTGAGACATTCTCTTTCCTGGATGTAAAACCAACAACAACCTTCCTGTGAGTCAAGAAGTGTGAGACCATGAATGCTCATTTTCAGTGTGAGGTAGCTCTGACTGGCTTTTCTAATCGGTGTTGACCTAATGGTGGCTAATACAGGAGATGGCTGCAGAAGCCTTTTTTCATCCTGGATGTTAAACTCAGAGTGATTGATCATAATAAAAAACAAGTCACAAACAGATTCTTTAAAGTTAATTTTAATGACAAAGGGGCATCCAGCTAGACGTTTTCCTTTTGTCAGCTAAATCATCCTGTCTGCTAACTGCTGATCTGATCCCTGACCTGTGTTTCATCTCAGTAATACAGCAGAGAACAGAAACGCTGCTAGTGCTGGTCCTCCTCCCACTCTGGATGTGCTACAACAAGCTGCAGGAGGGGTGAGTCTTAAGCTTTAATCCCTCATCCTTGTTTTCGTTCAAAGTTGCATTTATTAGTCTGATAATTTGTCACATTTATGTATTAATTGATAAAAGGGATAAGTCAGCCTTTCTGCTTTGTTATTCTTTGTAGATGTAAAGAGTAGTCAGTGTCTTACCTGCACTCAACAGAAGTCTGAACCTCAGAAGCCCCCTTCAGACAGGCCATGAAAAACGGAAATGTTCCGGACTCTGTCCGTAAGACCTTTGTGTCTGAATACAAACATCCGGATAACGTGTTCCGGAATTTATCCGGACGAAGCCCCTAGTAACAGGTCCAGACTTGTTACGGACAGGGTGGCCGCTTCAGACTGGTGAGGTAGAGTTCCGGACAAGGGGGAGGGGGAGGGGACCGGGGGACGCCGTGCGCACCTAGATAACCCGCTGCTGTAGCACACGGCGAACCACGGCAGCTCGCCTCCTACGGTACCGCCTAGACGCGCGACGGAGCGCTTCACACCGCTTCAGTGATTCCTTTAACCATTGAGCTTCATCATCCAGGTCTCTTATGCGTCTTCGTGTGCGCAGAATTATGCTTAAGCGCCTCGTGATTTTTATCTTGAGAGGCGCTATAGAAACGATATTTTCTTCTTCTTCTTGAGTCCGATTCGCTCCCCCCCCCCCACCCCCACCACCCCCCGCCACCGTCAGACGTCTGGAACTTTTCCCTGCTGTGTGAACGCAGCCGAAAGGACAAGTTCCGGTACAAAAGTGGTGTGTCTGAAAACACAGTTCCGGTTAAAAACCGGATTGAATTGTCCACAAATGTTTCAGAATGTCTGTCTGAAAAGGGCTTAAGTTTGTAGAATCCTCACAGAAAGCTGAAAGCGAGCAGCTAATCAGACTTATTTCAAAGTGGATCCTGACTAGGAGTGTTCCGATCACGTGATTTTGCTTCAGATCAAAGTCCTTTGATTTTGAGTGTCTGCCGATACCGAGTCTCGATCTGATGCTTCAGTAAAACAGTAACATCAGAAGAAAAAATGAGAACACATCCAAGTTATCCTTTCAGTTTTTTATTATTATTTATGTATTTATTTTTTCTGTGTTTATGTCATTTCCTTAGTTTGTCTTCCAGAAACTCATTCACTCGTTCAAAACGTGATAATATTAAGAAAATACTTAAAAGTAGCCTTGTCGCTCTTATTTCTAATTGGCGGCTATTTTGAGCGATGCGTGTTCCTGCGACAGGGTAGTCACAGCACATGATGGCCGGCAGGCTCACTCTTTTCTACAAAACATCTGTATAGTCTGCAAAGTTAAGATGAGAAAGCAGCTCATACCACGGCTCCAGGGGACTGCAAAACCTGACGTTTGCAACCACAGACTGTCCTCCAGTTCAACAAATACAGCTATCTTGGCATTTTACTTCTGTCTTTGTTTTTAACATATCTTCCAGTGTAGGCTAGCTCCAAAATGTTGTCCGCATTGCTGCAGAGAATTGAGCAGAATTGGTTTTTATTTGTATTTATTTGGTTTAGATTCGTAGTGTTAAATACAGCTCCATCTTTTCCGCAACATGAAATACTCTGCACTGTCCTTACTGTCCGGTTTAAAATACACCCAAACTGCAGAGACTTTTGCTCTTCTGAGTCGACACGTTAGCTCTGCATTAGCCTGCTAGCTAGTAGCTGTATATTAAGGCGTTTGAATTCCCTGGTGGCCTTAAATTGTGACGTTAAGGTGTTGCTGTTCATGGAGCAATGATTACAGAAACTTGTTCAATTAGATCTAAGCCATTGTCATCATGTTTTAAGATCAAGACCATGCTTGTTGTTTTATAAGGTTCTCTTCCACTTGATTCCAGATCCGATGAAAATCACGCAATAGGAACTGATTTCTGATTCACATGATGGGATCAGAGCATCATGACTTGTCACTATCGTGACCCACCGCTCTCGTGAGCCGCCGCTATCGTGACCCACAGTTATCGTGACCCACAGTTATCGTGACCCACAGCTATCGTGACCCACAGTTATCGTGACCCACAGCTATCGTGACCCACAGCTATCGTGACCCACAGTTATCGTGACCCACAGCTATCGTGACCCACAGTTATCGTGACCCACAGCTATCGTGACCCACAGTTATCGTGACCCACAGCTATCGTGACCCACAGCTATCGTGACCCACAGCTATCGTGACCCACAGTTATCGTGACCCACAGCTATCGTGACCCACAGCTATCGTGACCCACAGCTATCGTGACCCACAGCTATCGTGACCCACAGCTATCGTGACCCGCCGCTATCGTGACCCACGGCTATCGTGACCCACAGCTATCGTGACCCGCCGCTATCGTGACCCACAGTTATCGTGACCCACGGCTATCGTGACCCACAGCTATCGTGACCCGCCGCTATCGTGACCCACAGCTATCGTGACCCGCCGCTATCGTGACCCACAGCTATCGTGACCCGCCGCTATCGTGAGCCGCCGCTATCGTGAGCCACCGCTATCATGACCCACAGCTATCGTGACCCACAGCTATCGTGACCCACCGCTCTCGTGAGCCGCCGCTATCGTGACCCACAGCTATCGTGACCCACAGCTATCGTGACCCACAGTTATCGTGACCCACAGCTATCGTGACCCACAGCTATCGTGACCCACAGCTATCGTGACCCACCGCTCTCGTGAGCCGCCGCTATCGTGACCCACAGTTATCGTGACCCACAGCTATCGTGACCCACAGCTATCGTGACCCACAGCTATCGTGACCCACAGTTATCGTGACCCACCGCTCTCGTGAGCCGCCGCTCTCGTGACCCACAGCTATCGTGACCCACAGTTATCGTGACCCACAGCTATCGTGACCCACAGTTATCGTGACCCACAGCTATCGTGACCCACAGCTATCGTGACCCACAGCTATCGTGACCCACAGCTATCGTGACCCACAGTTATCGTGACCCACAGCTATCGTGACCCGCCGCTATCGTGACCCGCCGCTATCGTGACCCGCCGCTATCGTGACCCACGGCTATCGTGACCCGCCGCTATCGTGACCCGCCGCTATCGTGACCCGCCGCTATCGTGAGCCACCGCTATCGTGACCCACAGTTATCGTGACCCACAGCTATCGTGACCCACCGCTCTCGTGAGCCGCCGCTATCGTGAGCCACCGCTATCGTGACCCACAGCTATCGTGACCCACAGCTATCGTGACCCACCGCTCTCGTGACCCACAGCTATCGTGACCCACAGCTATCGTGACCCACAGCTATCGTGACCCACAGCTATCGTGACCCACCGCTCTCGTGAGCCGCCGCTATCGTGACCCACAGCTATCGTGACCCACTGCTATCGTGACCCACTGCTATCGTGACCCACTGCTATCGTGACCCACTGCTATCGTGACCCACCGCTCTCGTGAGCCGCCGCTATCGTGACCCACAGCTATCGTGACCCACAGTTATCGTGACCCACTGCTATCGTGACCCACAGCTATCGTGACCCACTGCTATCGTGACCCACTGCTATCGTGACCCACTGCTATCGTGACCCACTGCTATCGTGACCCGCTGCTATCGTGAGCCGCTGCTATCGTGAGCCACCGCTATCATGTCTAGCTTAAATCAGGACAGGTGCAATCAAAATGCAGCTACTATAGATTTGTGCAAACCTACTCTAAATAAAACAATCCCAGGGTGTGTTGGTAGAAACAGAGTGAAGTTGTTACTCTTGTTTTTCCCTGTGGTGTCACTTATGTAAATGATATCTTCTTCATCACTACGCTGCACTTTGTGTAACCTTTGACCCGGCCTGATCAGAAATATGTATCATGTCGTGTTCTCCATTAACATTGGTTTTTATGTTTTATTCATAAATCACTTTAATTTGCCGTTGAAGAATTTCCTAAGTTGTGTTTTCTGTTGTGTTTTTTTATTTTTATTTTTTGTGTTTGTGTGTTTTGGCAACCTGCGGTGCTCTTCATGCTGCCCCTCAGGGTGCTGGACGCCAGTCCTCTGTCATGGATGACATAGAGGAGTGGCTGTGTACCGATGTGGTGAGCCAAGTCGTCATTTATAGTTCTGCTTGATTTTCTTAGCTTTTTCACTCTTTTGCATCCTTTTATCTCCCTTTTAATCTAAGAATAACAAATCTATCACACCTCCCCACTCTGGGGTCAATCACATTTTAACAACCTAACTTAATCAGATTTCACTAACAGTGTTGTTGGAAACTTGGGCTGTTCAGCTACAGTTTCAGTTGGGAATGTCACAAAAAGTCTAAAGTTAGAGAAGTAATAAGAGAGACACGAAGGCACAACTTTATAATGAATGTATTACAAAAACATTGAGCAGATGATTTCATGGAGCAAAATACTTTGAAGGAGTAGACCAAATCTGATATCAGAAAGTATTTGTACAAGTACACGGTGATTGAGCCCAGAAGAATACCAGCCTTCAGAGTCAGAGTGCCTAGTCAGTGGAAGGAGCTGAAATCAGAATTAGGGCTGGACGATGTAGAAAAAAAGTATATCAGACAATTTTTAATATTGATCCATTTAGATAATTATTGAAAAATATTTTACAAATTGTAGAAAATCAATTTTACGTGCAGCCCTGGCCCTTTTATTTTTGGTATTTTTAATTTTTCTCTGCCTCTTCTCGCTGCGACATCTTGCTGCCTCATGCAGACTCGGGCCTGGCGACGTAGCGTGCCCGAGTCTGGTTTTGATTGGTTAGGAGTTGGGCTGCAACAACGAATCGATGAATTCGATGAAAATCGATTACTAAAAGCGTTGGCAACGAATTGCGTCATCGATTCGTTGTGTTGCGCAACTCTTCCAAAAGCCCCCTCCCCTCCCGCCCGCCGTTGCGCGCAGACCGGTGGAGAGCCGGCAGGTGTTTGTAAGAGGAACATGGCAGAAGCAGCGAGACCCCAAAAAAGTTAAAACTTCTAAAGTTTGGGAGCATTTTCAGTTAAATCAGGCGAAGACATGCAACGTTTGTAGGTCAGACTTAGCATGGCACGGGGATACTACGGTGATGATGCAGCGTCTTAAACGCAAGCATGTCAGAATCATCAGCGAGGAAGGAGAGAGCTCTGTGTCCGGGTAAGTTAAAAACTTTTCAAAAGTGATTCACCCAAGCCCCAGATTATTACACAGGCTAGACATGCCCTAAGCTCGTAAAAAAAGTCTATAAAATTGTAAGCGCGACGCTATTTGATAGTCGGGGGGGGGGGGGGGGGGGGGGGGACTCGCGCCGCTGCGAACCGGTTCCGCTGTCACATTCCCGCAGAAACTGGTTGATCACACCGGGGCCAGACTACTAGCATGTGGTTTTACAACCACAATGTCCTCAGAAGCAAAAACGCTTTTAAAAGGGAGGGAGGAGTCCTAACTGTTGCTGCAGGCGTGTTGTGTGAGAGTGCAGTTATATACTGGTTAATATATTTTTGGGTTCAGTTGCTTTCATGTGGCCTAATGTGAGTCTATTTGGGATCATTGGAATGATCAGCAGCATTTCTTGATGTGACTTTATGGCAGTTGCCCAGGGCATCATCGCAAGGAGGATGGCATTCATTTACTTTTGTTTTATTTGGTATTTTTCAGTCATTTTTGGAAATAGTGATTAATTTTGATTAATTCACAGCCTATGTTTAATTACATTTAAAAATTAGTTGTTTGACATCCCCAATTATAATAAATGTCTACAGATGAGATCAAACAAAACAGATGAGAATTGCCCTTAAAGAGCAAGTCACCCCCAAATAAACTTTTTTTTGCTGATAAACTAAATAAACGAGTGTCTAATCGTGCTGCAGACACGTGTCGTCAATAATTTGGCACTTCAGTGCATCTTAGTTAAAATTTAAATATTCTGCCTAAAACTGGCAGTGTTGTGCCGTTGTCAGGTAAAAACTCTGCACTGTATTTTAATTTAAATCTGCCACCGCTATTGGCTAAGAAGTATGCTATGATGTAAACTGGTACATTATGATGTCACAATGCTGTCGTGAGCCTGAGTGTGTGTGTATTTGTTAGCGGCTCCGCCCTCTCGGTCTGCCAGGCAACAGCATGTGTTGCATTTTTCAAACATGAAGCGGGAGTGGAGTTAGACTCTGGTAGGGGTTGACTTGCTCTTTAAGCTGTTTAATTTGGACCAAGCATTTTAGGTCACAGATAGATGTAGCTTAGGGTCTCTGTCTACTGTATACGCCTTATAAGACAATTTAGGTGATGGCATGTTGTTTTTCTGCTATTGAACTGTTTTCTAATAATGTTGTGTTTAATAAAGTGAAGGAAGGAGAAAAATAACGTTTCCCTGGCAGTTTTTAAAAATGTCCCTATGTAATCCGATTAATCGATTAATCGTGTCGAGACCCCATCCGATTAATCGATTATCCAAATAATCGTTTGTTGCAGCCCTAGTTAGGAGAGTAAGTAGTGAGTTTAGTATGCTGCTACCTGATAGGTTATAATGCAAAAAGGACACTTTTTTAATCGAAGTTTTATCGACCCTTTTTTTTTCTATCGCACCACGTGTCTATTAGTAGATATATTGAAGTATTCAATTATCGTCCAGCCCTGATCAGAATATAATCAGACACAACTCTGTATAATTGTTTAATCACAAGGATCTTTTGTCCAACATTTATTTATATTAAATCTATAAAACCAAAAAGCTGGGTCTTCTTATATCTGTTATTACTTCACTACAACAACAGGTAAGTTACTCCTCATTGTACAGTCCTGCTTGATTTATGAGTGTTTATAAACTCTGTTGTTTTGTATACACACAGTTATTATTGGCATGGATGTCACGATAACGCCTTTTGACAATTAAAATTGAGCCCACATTTTCAAAGTTAAACACATTTCTTTTAACAACGGTAGTTTCTGCTTCAGCCATCTCCCCCCTCCCCCTGCGCAGCGGCCGCAAACTCACTGATGCGCCTGCAGCCTCTCAGAGTTCCTGTTGCTCTAAACATTAAAATAATTATTTCATTTTCTGTTCCTCACTTCTGATTACCTTCAGTGGTGTTTGTTTGTTGCAACCACCAGGTACAAAAACTAACTTGTTTTTATTTGACTATTTTTCTGTCCTGTATCTGTTTATTATCTTCCTGCATCTCCTCTCAATCCTAAAGAAAAACTGCTACCTGGGTTCATATATATTCACCTCATGAGTTACCTTTGAACTGCAGTTCTAAAAGATCTACCGACCGCAAAAACAGCGGAGTGCGCGCTGCTTGCCGGCCACGGGAGGCAACGCGCTGTGCCAGAGCGTCTGTACTGACACCCGCCGTAAAACGGACATTTAACCAAATTGTGACGTTTACCCTCTTGCAATTTAACCTTCCCCTCACCCCCATCCTAACCTTAACCAGCTTGCACATGCAAAGCTCTGATTGTTGACGCGCTCCAGACATCTGCGTACTGACCACGGCCACAGTAACATTATCAAATCAGGTGTCGCCACCTCAAAAACTAATTTAACACGCGACCGTTCATGTCGGCTCAGTTCCTTTTATGTTTTCTGTCTTTTATTCTTTTATTTGTGCCTGATGCGTTTCGCTGCTGTAGATCGGGGCGCATCACCTGTCACCTTCTGACAGCAGGCTGCTGTCTTTTCCGTGGACTGCATCTTGCCGGTCATTATCACGTGACAGCGACTAGTCGATGACAGGCATAAAAAGTCACCATAGAGCGGTGAAGTCGACTAGTGACTAGTTCATACAACTCCTACTGCTCCCCAGAGTGTTCTGCAGCATAATCAGCACGTTCTCTTTGAACTTGATATCAAATTTTCGCCTCCACTTTCGTCTCCGCACGGTTAAAGTTACCCTCGCGGTCTATCACTGGCAAATCCAAAGTGAGACGGATGACACAACCGCCCCCCGTACTTGCTTGTTACCACATTCCACCCGGCCACAATAAAATACCGGCCATTATTCACCTCCACCGACTCCGGCACTGGTCAAAATATGATACCCGGCAGTTAATTAAATACAGGCTAATATTAGAGGATTTACGGTATTTATTTTTTACAAATTAAGCAATTGGATATCTGCACTTGTTTTTTTATTTTGAAAGTTACTAGATGACTAGACTTTGACTTCCTGTCTGGCCCGATCTGAACTGCTGAGCTTGACGTTGTCAGGAAGACGAGACAAAGAGCCAAAGCATAAATCTGGGAATGATAACAATTGGTTTCTTTCCCCCACTTATCTAAGGCCGGGATAATATATATGTATGCAACTGACAACATTTTAATTTAGAGTGGATGTTGAATACATCTGTTATCCTCTTTTGTTTTATATTTTACTTATTCGTTTATTATCATATAGTCAATGTGATGATTTAGAACCAGAAAGACCAACAAAGGCATTATTGAACAGCACAACAGCAACTGTCTGCCTTAAAGTAGATAAGATACAGAAGTTCTGTTATGAGAAAGTGTTTTAAGATGATGCTGGGCAAAACATGAGTTTGTGAGAACGTCCTTGGGTGAGAAGGAGAAAACGTTAACTGTCTGTATCTACTGACTGGAACCGCCCAGTTTGCTTTATATGTGACTAAAAACTTCAATAAATGGCCAAATGAAAAAAAGAACAAGACATAAAGGTAACCCTGTAACCGTCCTTCTCTGCAAAGCCAAAATTCATGTTAGAATATGGAACATTTTAATAAAAAGCTATATGTAAACAAATGTATACCTCCACCGGGCGTTTAGAGGTGTACAGAATGAATGTACACTTTCTCCTTTAAAAGCTATATTAATAAAAAAAAATCAAAATGTTCTTTTGCCGGGCACAACGCTGGGTTTGTGTTTACATCCACCAGCCACTAGAGGGCACCATTATGCTTAAATATCCGCTCACGGAGGCAAGGCTGGGACTGTGTAGCAGCAGCTGATTCTGAGCCCAGAAGATGTTCTAACGGTAAATACCGTTGTAAAAGAAACGCATTAGTTGAAAGTAGTCCTTATCCTGTATGATCTGTCACTGGACAAGATCCTGGCTGGTCACTCAACGGGTCAGCAGTGAACCAACATCCCGACGGCTGGGAAATTAGCTCTGTTGTTGCAATACCACCTCTGACCACCAGAGTGTTCGCCAGTGTCCATGTTCCATAATCAACCTTTGACCTTGTGTCGCACTCTTGTTTTAATTCTGATATTTATTAACAGTGGAATACCCCTTTAAAGCGTTAAGGTGGATGTATGTTTATACCTGAGGTTATATGTATAATTCTGACCATGTGTTGAACAGAGAAACTCGGCTCTAAAATCAAACTTGTGCACTCAATCCTTGTTTTTAAGTCTGTGCAGCTGTGTGCTGCAACATCATTCCACCCTAAGATAAACGGGTAAAGCGTGAAAAATGACGTTGATGCCCTTGATGAGTAGGTGTAAACTACTAACCCTGGCTAGACATAAATATCTGACTTAACCTGATTAGAGCTCTTTGAATGGATTAAAATGCTGTTTTGCTGGTTTGTTGTGGGCTTGACTCACTGCAGGGGTGTTTCTGTTTTCTTTGACAGAAAGGAGATGAAGGTGAAGAAGGAGTCACCAGCGAAGGTGAGAGAACTCTCTAGGTTTTCATGCTGGCATGAACAGTTGAATGTTCTTTTGCTGATGGTGACAAGGGTTTTTAATATTATTGATGCATCCAGAGTTTGATAAGTTCCTGGAGGAGCGAGCCAAAGCTGCTGAGGTGACCCCTGGTCTACCGTCACCCCCAAGTGGCAACCCGGGCACAGCGCAGGGAACCCCCAGCCGGAAGAAACCAGATAGACCTGAGGACACGCTGTTTGCCATGTAGACCTCACCGTTGTCCTCTCATCTGCCCCCCCGCCTTAGACCTGACCAGCTGAGCAGCACCCGAGGCCAGACTCGCCTGCGTTCCAACCTATCCCAACACTAGATCTGATTTTTGTACTTTATAAAAAGAGAATAAGCTCTCACTAGGAAGAGAAAACCAATGCTCTGCTGCCCAACTGGTGTCAGACAGCATCTTCATGGGAAAAGATTTCCCCTCAGGCTGTTGTGGACTGCAGAGCTTCATGTTGCAGCTAAAATATTTAGTTTTATTAACAGGAAAAGAGGACTCTTGACATAAATCCTCAAACCAACAGCAGGCTTAAGAATACTTTAGTTCCACCTTTAAAAAACAATGGAGAACAAAGTGCTCGTACCTACAGGGGTCATGTTTGGTGTTTGTCTGCTTCTCTTTGCTTACTAGTCCACGCTGATTTGTAAATCTGTAAATGACAAATGTCGAGTTTATCAGTTTGGTGTATATTTAAACTACATATATGAGAAAAAGGTAATTTAATGTACTTTTTGGAGAGTTTATGTCCTGTTTCCTTTCGCTGTGGAGACGTTACCTCATCGGGGTGTGTGTGTGGGGGTGGGTGGGGGGTCAGGAAAAGGGAAATGTATTTGCAGACACTACGGTTAAGATGAAGAAGGGATTTATTTTGCCGACTGGGAGTTGATCTCAACAGATTTGTGGAGGTGATTTAGCTGAGTTGCTCTGAAGCTGCTATCTTTCGTTGTGATGTCATCTCCTGCGATGCTGAGGAGGTTTGTGTGGTTGTGGATTAAAAACAAAAGAGCTCACAGGGATTTTCTTTTTTCATGAGTAGCTTAAGACACATGCTGTTAGTTGTCAGTGACTGTATATTTTAATCTCTCTCTGTTGATTCCACTGTACGTCTCTGTCCTAAAGTTGTGCTTAAAGGACCAAATATGTTTATTCTGAATGTGGAAATACATAATCTGGCTTATTTCAAACTAGCCCTTTTCCAGAGTTTTAATGAGAATTCATTGTGATGCGACAGAATGTGTGTGATTTTTTTTTCTTTCCCCCTGTCGTTTTCTTTTTACAACTGACATCTTTAAAGGCCAGACCTTTCAAAATGACATTTGTTTGCAGAAATGAGCTCGACGCCTCGCTACAAATGAGACATTTTAATCTTGACAACAGTAAACGCGACACGTTACACAAGAACAACAACAAGCTCCAGACATGCTTCACCTTGATGGCTGCATTACCTTCCAACACGTACTGTATATGGGCTAGGTGTAATTAATGAGAAGTGTTGGAGTTGAGGTGTAGAAATAATTGATCCCGCACTGTTTTTGTTTCTGATCAGTATTTCTGATTAACCTTATTTTTGAACAATGAGGACAGGGATGGGACGTGATGGTGCATGTGGTTTAATGTTATTAGCTTTTGTTTATGGTGTTGAGAGATTTTTCTTTTTTATACATTTTTGTTGGTTAATGCATCTTGTTTATGATTTTGTTGGTGGAAACTAAAATGAACAAACAAAGCAGGCAGTTCATCACATACTGAGTACCACATTTTCACATGAAGAATATATATTTGTAATCATTTTTAGTATTTTGGGCGGTGTATTTAGACCAGAGCATTAACACAATCGTGAGACACTCTTGGCAAAACATCAACATTGCACATTTAGAAAATTATTTCCTTTCCCAGTTTTTTGTTTGTTTGTTTGTTTTTTGCTTGTGTATGTGTGTGTGTGTGTGTGTGTTGCAGGAGAACCACTTTTGTGACATTAAAAGATGCTGGACAAAAAATAAAATGCAAGTCTGCAGTTATGTGTATTCAAACGTTCATGAGTTGCCTCGTGTTTCATTTCTCTTTGTGTTGTTTTGATTTCTGCATGAACTCGAAATAAAGTTGAACAATGTGTGCCCTGCA